CTGAGCAAGGCACGCAGAGCACCCTAAGAGCAGAGGCTCATGCTCCAGCTGCAGTCAGAGGGCCCAAGAGCCCTGAGATGACACCCCTGGCAGGTGTGAAAAAACCCAGGGGCCAGGCCCTGTTAGTCCCATGTGCACTGTGGGCCAAATGGCTATTTCAAAAGTCACTGGTCTTGCAGAGTCATTAAGCTCGGCACCCCCGGATCACCCCAGCACAGGGACCCATGAAGCTTGGCTCCTGGCACTCAGAAAGACCTTCTGTGCTGAGATCCACTGGCCCTGACCTCTTTCCCCACCCCAGACAATGCTGACTGACCTAAGGACATCAGGCCAGGACAGGCCAGGCCAGTTCATCTGACCTTTGGCCTATAACCTCTGCCCTTACAGACACTTTATCACAGACCCCAACGCTCCAGGCCAGCTCCACCCCGTTTCCCATCCCCTGCTTATCGAAGTAGCTCCCTCACTGCCTCATGCCTGAGCTTGCACTGGTCATTAGCCGGTGGGTTCAAGCATCAGCTTCCAGGGCCCCAAGGTCTGAGTGGCATGTTGCCCCCCCTCAGTGCATGTGGAGGGGTGTGGATACGTGCTGGAGCTGCCTCAAGGCAGGAAGGGACAATCAGAACAGGGTCAAGTACCTCTGGCCCCCGAGCCAGTCCCCCTTTCTTGCGATGGAGCATGGTAATCCGCGGAGATGACGGCAAGGCCCCTGCCCTGTCACTGCTCACCCGCCAACCTCACAACATGGCTATTTATAGCACCCGCCTGGCTCTCACCGCCAGCTCTGAAATGAGCCTTCCACTTAGCGGTAATGAGAGACTTAGCGCCTGGCGGGGAGAAGCCACTCCAGGACGCCACTTGTCCGCCTGCCTGGCCAACCCTAGGGTTGAGGAAGCTCATCTGATTAAAGCAAGGAAGAGGGGTAGAAAGGATCCCATGAGGGAAAGGGGGAAGAGGAACAAGCCTGAGGGTGGGTTGGGCTAGGACCCTCAGCAGCCGGCAAAAGAGTGCCTGGGAGGCAGCGGGGCGGATGGCCTGGCCCTGGGCTCGCTGCAGCTCAGCCTCGGGCTCCATGAGTGACTCCATGAGTGATCCAGAGCCTTTCATCCTGGGCCTGGGTGTGCTCAGCCATGGAGTGGAAAACCCCAGTCCTGGTGCTCCCAAGGTCAGGGAAGGAGAGTCGTTATCTGAGGTAGTCTGAGTCCGATCTTTTTTGCACACCTGAGAACTCTCCAGATCCCTCCATCTCGAGGCCATGCTCCTGACTCCTCCCACCTCGAAACATACCAGCAACTGCCTTTGCACCCCTCCCCCCACTTGTCCCCACACCCACCCAGCCCAGGTCTGCGGGGGGAGGTGACAAAAGAACATAGGACAGGGACCAACAGTTAGTGTAATGGCTATGTTGCTGGACTCCCATGTAGTCGACCGCAGTTTGAGTCCCAGACCCAGTGGCTTAAACTCACGCCAGGTACGTGTGCATGCGTGCCCAGGATCCTGAGAGGAGAATGGAGGAGAAGCGTTTGTGGTGTGGTCATACCCCCTGGGGGGTGATTTCTTGCTCTCTGTCTCTCTGGTGAGTGCACACGCCCTATAGCAAAAAAAAAAAGAACACAGGCCAGCTCTGGGCCCCTCCAATGCCAACCCTTGGGGTCAGGGATCTGTCAAACCTGAGCCCCATCAGCAAACTAGGCCAGCTCAACAGGCCGGGCTCAGGGAGGACTCCTGAAGGAGCTCCGGGCCTTTCCCTGGGGCCAGAGGGAATGTGGTCTGGGCCTCCCCCAGCACCTTAATGTTCTGGCACTCCAAGGGCCCAAATGGTAGCAGCTGAGTGGCCATCAGCCATTGAAGAGCTACAGACAGTTGGTGTTTGGGAATGTGCCCAGAGACCAGAGTCTGTGTCCACCCAGGGATTCCAGGGACAATGAGGGCCCTACCCCATTCCCACCAACACTCAGGCCACCACCCCCGCTTCCCTTCTGGAGAAGCTTGGTGGTAACAGGGACAAGAGGAGGGAGTCACACTCTTCCCATCTTCTCTTCTAGGCTGGGCATCAGGGTGGGCAGCACTAGGCAGCCACCCTGTGCCACCTGCTCTGCCAGCCCCCTCGTTGGCAGGCAGGAGGCAGCTCTGCGGCTGCTCTGCGCATCTGCCTCCTCCGGAGAGCCCGGCTCTGAAGTTGCCTGGCTGTGGACAGCACGTTGCCATGGAAACTGCATCCTCCATCCTTGCCGTCGCCTTCATCTCAAAGCCATCGGGGAGAACAGAGAAATAGGGGAGACAGAGGATGGAGAGGCAACCGTGGCCCGGCTGTACAACCCTTCCTTCCCAGCCCAGCCCCACTTCCTCACAGCAGCCCACCCATGTGGCACCGGCTGCCTGAGCCTGCCACCAGGCCCCTGGGGGGGACAGCCTAGGACCCAAACCTAGCCTGGTCTCACCCCTGTCACCTTGGGACCCTGGCCCTCCCTACTGGAGGTAGGCATGGTGCTAATTAAAATGCCATCTTCAGCTCAACCCCAAACCACTCTAACACACGCCAGGTCCTGCCACAGTTCAGACTGAGGGGTGGAGGACGGGGGCAGGAAGAGGGCAAGAGGCAAACTTGTTTTTACTTCTCTCTTCCTTCCATGTATGTGCACTCACAAGAGAGACAGAGAGACAGTGCCCCAACAGGACCCCGCCCCCGCCATCTACCTTCAGCTTCACGGTCCCAGAGCACGCGTACGCACACGCCCAGTCCTCAGGGAGGGCTCAGGATGCAGCCTGGAACCTTCCCATGCAGGTCTGTCTTGGAGTGTGCCATGTTTTACCGCTGTCCACCATCTGGCCCCCCAGCGGGTAAACTCCTGACCGAGGCCCACAGGCACAGATGGGGCTTAGAGCTGGCCTGTGCCCCTCCTGGGGGGCCATGCTCCCCTCCATGCATCTGTCACTGTATAAGAATGAGTCTGGGGGTGTGGGGGTGGAGGGTGAGGGGCAGCATTAGCCATGTGCCCTGAGCCTGAGTGACCAGGCAGAGAGGACGAGCCCTGACCCTCGCAGCCAGGAGCGGCCTCAGGGGGCGGAGAGGGCCTCGCTGCAGCAGGAGCTGCGGCCCCAGCAGTGTGCCGATGAGCTGGTAAGTATCGGAAAATCATTGGAGGAAGGCGAGGCCAGCTGCCGCCCCCTCAGCTCGTCCCAGGGAGCCCTTAGAGACGACTGCCAAGGGCCAAGGACACCTGCTCAATGCCATACCAGGCTGGGACTGCGGGGTAGTGGAGTCCTCCTGGGCCTGGGCACACGCCCTTTCACCTCCCAGGCAGCCAGGACCTGGGAATCTGCCCTGGCCACTGAAGCCACTGACCATCCGACAAGCCCACATGCAGAGCTCACGCCCTCGCTCAGACTCGAGGGCACCACAGGCCCCTCTCTGAAGTGGGGGAGATGCAGACGCCCAGCGCTCTCCGGCTAACGGAAGTTGGTGAATCCTGCCACGGTGCACCAGAAACTGCTGGGAACTGGGTCTAGGAGTTCCGGTCCCTCTAACGTGTCTCCAGGCCTTCCCTCCACTGGGGCCCTCCCTGGGACACCACCCACGATATGGGGATTTCCTGACACCTCAGTCATTGGCATTCCCTCCTCCAGGCCTAGCACCAGCGCTGGCTCAGCCACCCAAGGTACCTCTGCTTCGGCTCCCTGGGGAGCATTCCCACCCCGGCCTCACCTCAGGCTGAGCTCGCCTCCTGGGCAGGGGGCAAACACTCAGTCCCCTCAGCTCAGGGCTCCCACAAAGAGGCAGACTGGTATGTGGGACGAGGTTGCCCCACAACCCACAGGCAGGCCCTGGCAGGTCTTTGGGAATTAGCAGAGGAAGGAGATTAGGAGAGGGGACCTGAACTACCTCTCAAGTGTTCACTGGCCTGTGCCCTGGCTTCTGTGGGGCCAGGAAGCAGCAGAAGAGAGAGATCAAGCCCCCCGGAGGCTGAGAGTGGATTCCACCCCCTCCCTGGCTGCTCAGAGGCCTCGTCTGCCCTGAGCTCAGTGGTTGAAAATGCAGGTCAAGGACTGGGTCACATATCCTTGAGCTCTAGGCCCAGAGAGGGATGAGGTCTGCCCAATGAGGCCCCATCTCATCACAGCCCCTACCTCCTCCCTTGTGGGGTGAGAAGCCCTGGCCTCCCTGTTCACCCTCCGCTGCCAAGTCCTACCCATTCCTCCATGCCGGGCTGGACAACCAGGCAGCCACGTGGCCAGCAAGCAGCTGTTGCATCCCACCCGGGGTGGTGGCATCTCCTCGCCGGGTGAAGTGATGCGTGCTCATTTTTAATTACACAGACACCGACGTGCACCCGCCTGCACACAGCAGTCCCTGTGTGTGGGGCTCGGACCCCAGAGGCCCCTCAGGCATGGCATGTGCAAAGTGCTTGGGGGAGGCACAGCAGGGAGGCTGGGGCTGGCATGTAGCACATTGTTATTATTCTGCCCAGGAACTTCCGTCAACTTCCCTCTCCCTGGCTCCCTCTCATCCCAGCAGGCCTCCTAACAGTCTCTGGTCCAGAACTGAACCTGTTTCTGGGGTGCTCTGGGGGCCTTGCCATGCCAGCAGGGAGAGCCTGCA